TTATATAACTTGTGTAGTTGTGTCATATAAACCCAGCTAAACCTATAGGACGTATAATGAAGAAAATCGTTATAATTGCAGTCTACAGTACCTACCAGCTATTATTATCATTTATCTGTGTACCTACCACTACTGTATTTTGAATGAATTTTCATTTTTTTTTTAAATTATATTTTAATATTTTATAATTATTGTTTAATCGTTTATACAGCGCATTGGCGTGCGCCATTAGTTTCTAGTCAGGTGCAGCCATAGATTAAAATATATACAATAAATTATTTAATCTATGGATGCAGCCATGCAGGCGTGCAGCAGACATTATTACTGGCTCATTTTTCTTTACCAATGACTACCTAACTGATTAAGTTGTTGGTAACTTTCATATTATGAAAATTATAAAAATCAATAATCAATATAAGTAAGTAATAAATATGTTTTATACCTAACCGTCTCTATAACATCTTACTATTATTATAATATGACATGATAGTTTTCAGATTTATTTTTATCCAAGTTTTTAAATTGAAATAATAATGTGTACCTATTTGAAATACTGCCCAACAAAAATGTAGGTACAACATTGCTCTTAAGTATTTCTATGAACATTGTAGGGGAACCCGAGCTAAGTGAATAGGTATGTTAAGTTTAGAACCAAAAATTAACATTAAAAAGTGTATTCTTAAGCTTAGACTTAACATTATTACAATAATAAAAAATGTTTAGTAACCATACTTATTTAAGAACATTTAATTTGAAATCTATAATACAACCCTTAGTGAGCAATAATTTTTTACTAACACCAAAATTCTTTGAACCTATCCAATAATCACCAAACAATCACACAGTGTGTAAGTAGGTATGCACTTATCTAGTTTTCGGCAAAAGTTGGCTCATTCACATGATACATATTATTTTATTAATCATTATCGTTGCTCATGGGCCGTACAATGTAGGTAAGCCCCTACGGACTTCTATTAACATGAGTCCATGACATATACAAATTGTATGAACACCCCTAATAAATCTCGGGTACTCATCTTTGAAGGATTGACGCCAACTGAGTGCCAGTGATTTAATTTTTTTTCAAATGTACCAGCAAGACATTATACCTATCACCTCCTCGGCGTTAAAAATTGAAATTATAGTAAAATTGAAGTACCTATAGCATCCTGTATTCCTGTGCAGTGGCGCGGTCAGGAGGAAGAGAGGTTAGGGGTTATATCCCTATCTATTGTCTTTTTTTGCCAACCTACATAATATAACAACTTATTAGTAATAAGAGCTGTTTTAGAATCATCACCTACTTTTTATTAGCTATTATAAAATTAATTCAGCAACTGGTGAAGATATTAAATATCTTATTGATACATATCAAGAGGATTTGAATAACAGTGATTTAGTTAAAAAATGGAGTTCATTTATGGCAAAAAAAATGTAACAAGCTAGATGTTTCAAAAAATTCTCTTGATGTATTTGGTGAATGTAACATAATGATATTCCACACATACACAAGTTACTATACATTTTAATAACCCTGTCAGTTACTACTGCAACTGGCAAAAACTTTTTTTTTAAAGATTTGTTGATGACAGGCATGCCACTCTGAATGATATTTAACAATACAAAGTTACATTACACTTTTTTTTTATATATATTTTATGGGCTAGGATGATATAACTTTTAGATAAGGAATCAATGAAAGGAACGTAACAGATGCAAATCAATTATAAATCAAATAACACATTGGTAATCATTAATCAATATGTTTACATTTTATTCAATTAATTTTGTTTTTCAAGTACAAATATATTAAAACCATCTCTACCTAAAATCACAATTCCGTACAAAAAATTGACTTAGATATACAGTAGGTTGAATATTTATTAACAAAACTTAATATTGCACTACGCTAAATACACAATTTACAACATGAAGTCTGTAATGTTAGAGTGCTTTTGTGTGCTAAATAATTAGTTAAACCCAATTTTATAAAGTGAATTTGCAATTATAATATAGTCAATAAATAATAGTGGACGTACAATACATACAATAAAATATCATACAGGTATTTATTCTAAAAACCGCAGTTAAGTAAGATAAATGGTTTGTTTTAACTTTAAATGTTAACCCAGTATAGACAAATTTCAATTTAGGAAAAATAATAACTAAAAAACAATAATAATTAATTAGGTTAATCAATATACTTATGTATAAATTAATTTTGTTTACAATTGAAAGTTGGATCCATGTAACTAGCACAGCTCTTGCAAAAAACTACATTGTGACACTAGTGACGGCTTACACACAATTAATAGTTTGACTAGTTCATAAGGAAATAGTTAAGTTAAATTGTAATAAAGCATTCCAGACTAGAGAATTTAGGATTTTTTTATTAACATTTTAAATGAAAAAAATAGTAATTAGGAGTATAGAAAATTAAACATTTTAACGAATAGTTGAGTTTCGTCTATAAATGTTTCATTAAGTAAAAAATTATTAAATTCCATATAGTTTTTGTTAAAAATAATAATTTTTTTAATAGACCAAATGTATAAACAATACCCTACTTTTAATTTAAATTTTTCATGGTGATTCAAATTGATTAATTCTATACTATTTGCGATATACAGTAAATTATGTTCTAACAATTCTGACATTTTGGTTATATTTTAAATTAACTAACCACAAGCCATGTCTTTATATGTCAACACTTATTACAAAATTTTTGTTTAACAATCCTTTTATTGATATATAAATATTATTTTTTTTAACATATATAATTTTTAAAGTAGATTTACTTTACAAATTCTCTTTTCTCTACAACAACATCACATTGATCAAATTTATCAGAAAAATATAATACAAGCTTAGCTTACTCCCAGATAAACTTAATAAAATAGTTTGTTGAATAAAAAATACAATTCTTCACAATTCAACTCAGGTTTTAGATTATTATCTTAAATGAAAACAATTTAAAAAAGTTGATAGGAACAAAAAAAAAAATTTAAGTGTGTTTCATTGTAGACTTTTCAACATTACTGGAAATAATGTTTTCTTTGTGTTCATATTATAAAATATTGTTAAGTACAATTAAAAGGTAATGCAGATTGGTTATTAACTTGCAATATAAGTATTAACTAATACATACACCATTAGGTTTTAAGTCATTAAGTGATATTGTAGTTCAGAGTTTTTTTGGTACTCGTCCAATATGCTATCTACCATAATTTAGTAGGTTAGGTAGGTTAGTAGGTATACCTTTATATTATATCTGTTTAGAGTGTGTTTATGAGTCATGTTGTATTACATATTATATATTATGAGTTTGTCAACTATGTGTCATTTATATCAACACATAATTCAAAATGAAGAGATGTGAGAACATTTTTTAAACATACTCGGTTATTACCAATCGACCAAACATATACAAAAATTAAAAACCCAACAATTTGTGGTGTTGAAAAAAGTTCTAAAAATAGTTGAAAATGTGATTCGGAAGGTAATATTTTGAAAACAATTTATTATCAATGTACAAAAAAAGGGTGCCAAACATTTTACTCATACGCAAAAACAATAACCTTTTTATGTACATGGATAAAAATGGGAAGTGTAACAATTAATAGTGAAAAAAAAATAAAAAAAAAATAATATAATATATATTATAATATAAAGAATATGGTTTAAATTTGTGCGATATCGTAGAACTTGTTTGGTATTGGGTATTTTAAATAAAGGTAACACAAGCCGAGGTATTTACAAAAAGATGAAAATCAACTAAGTCGATGGTAGATAAAATATTTACGGTAGATATCATTCACTAAACCATCAAACGTGTGGTAGATAGCATATTGGGCGAGTACTGTTTATTTTATACAATTTCCAAGAACAATTTTCCTTATTTTATTGATTTTACTGGAATGTTTGACAAAAAGATTTCTATGCCTATTCATTAATTCTGTATTAAATTTATCATAATTAGTATTAATCATTAAGATGTATAGTATTTATTTCTGTATAAAAAATATACTATAAGACACATATGTTTTGGACCAAAATTGGTAGGAAATTGTTATTTCAACAGAAACAAAAATTAAAAAATATTTGTTTAATAACAAAAAATTTCCGAAGAAATAATTGCCTACAAATATAAATATATTTTACAATATTTCAATTGTTTTAATGTAAAAATCAACAAAAATCAGGAACTAATGACATTAAACTTTTAAAAGTAGGTATTTTTTTGAGAAATAATTAACTGTTTTAAAATTATTTCAGTCATTCTTCTAAAATACACTATTTAGTAATACTTCACACATGCTCTAAATTATATTTTTAAATGTATTAATTTATGAACATCAAAATAATATTGTTTTTTATTTATTCACAAGGAGTAAAGTAATTTAATTTACTTAAGACTTCATATATTATATTACCCAGGTTTAGTCATCACTAATTTTTATAAGCTTAAATAGTTTTTGGTATAATATAAATAACATTGAAAAAAAAATGGTAATATTTATAAGTTAAATTTATAAAAATAAAGAAAAATAAAATATGGTTAAATGAGAAAAATATTGAGTAGGAAAAACATTTAAAATATCACAACCTGACCGTGTGTAATTATTATCAACACTATACTTCTATTTCTATTTTTTTACATTTTACTGTATTATTGTCTGCTATTACCTATATATATATTTTTTATAGTAATTAGTCATTATTATGTCTTTTAAGCATTTTAATTTACAATTTTTTTTTGATTAAGATTTGAATTTTTCTTGAAAGTAGCAGTTAACACATTATCAGCTATTTAATTTTAAGTTATCTAGAATATAATATTCTTTTAGTCATACATTTGTTTAACAAACAAAATTTATATTCTTATTATACATTATTAAAAGCAGTTATCTCGACTATTATTAATTATTAAACACATTATTCCAACATAAAATATTAAAATATAATCAAATAATTTAGGTTTAGGACATAGTTTAGGACAAAATATAATTTTCTATAACTAACGAATTAAATATTCACTACAATTATTTTTCACAAAAAAAAGTTTTACACAAAAAGAAAAAAAATTACATACAGTCAATTGAATAGAGGAACAAAACCTTTCGATTAAAATAAATAAAATTACGGAACTAAATAAATAAATGAAAAAAATTAAAATAAAAGTACTTTTATGCTTTGGTCTGATTGTTAGGAGACTAGAAGTACATTAAAACTATTAGGTGACTTTCTGTTCAACTCAAAAATATTCAAGGCTTTAACATCTAGCAAAGCTAGATGAATTTACTTTGTTTTATTTTACCTTCAGAAGAACATACAGTAGCAGTAGATTATATTTTTTCATTTTTATCTTGTCATTCAACATGTTGCATTTTATGTTTTAGTCATGTCTGAATCACTGCTAGTTGTTGATGGTTGCATATTACTTGTCCCAGCTCCCTCTGTTAGAAAAAACAACAACGGTTATTCATAATAAAAAATAAAGCTATGGTAAACGTGTTTCTTGTTAAAAACAGTGCCTCTAATCAATTCAAATAATTAATGGTATGATAAATGATAATATAGTAAACTAACTTAATACTTTTTTTTTATTGGTTAGTCAACAAAATTGAAAATGGTAATATAAAGTATAATTTTAGGCCACAACCATATTATTTAATATATTTAAATATTGGTTATAAATTGTAATCAAAATATTGAAATATTAGAGCAATAACTCTTTATTTTATATTAGTACATCTCTTTATCAGTTTCAACGACGTAATACTTAAGTACATGTATTAAAATCACAAGAGATTAAATTAAAATTATACTAATTAAGTAATATATAGTTACATAAAGTAATATAATTATATATATTTAATTTATTAATTGAAATAATTGAATTATTACCTCAATTTTGTTTGAATAATATGCTTTTTTTTTTTTTTTAATTGATCCTGAGCCCGGCAACTGTGGCCATTAGCTATTAGTAGGTACTGTAGGTTTTTGGAACGGTAGGGGGAACACGTGTGTGTTTGTTTTGGCAGAATTTCGAATGGGGCACCCGTAGGTTTCTGCCATGCCCCGGGGGTGGGGGATGGCAGCACTTGCTCTCCGGTCACCGCGACTTGTCCGGAGAAAAATGCCGCCCGGTGGCCGAGGATCGAACCGCGACCGGCTGCGTCGCAGCGGAAGAGTCAGACCACTCGGACACCTCGTCCCCAATATGCTTTTAATATGTCCTTATTCATTATACACCTAATCTAATCTGTGCAATTAGTTTGTATTTTGGTACATTTGTTTAAATTTTTAATTAAAAAAAAATACAGATAATATTCAGTAATTTTGAAAGTAGTGATGCAAAAATGAATATGCCTAAATTGATAATTGCATTATTGAATTACTTAATTCATAGGCGAAAACATCTGGGGTCTTGGGGCTAAGCCACCTTACTTTAGTATAACCTCCCATCCCAAAAACTGAAGATTTTACAGATTTATAACATTTTTTAGGTATTTAGTAATAACAGAAAAATCTTCAAAAGAATCCAGTATAGAATTGAGCTTCAGCTCTCTCAAATCTCAAACACTATTCGTGTCTATGTTACTGGTGAAAACTTATTATACATTATTTTGTCGTACTTCAATAAAATCAAATAAGAATTATTTTACCATTTGTTGTAAGCGCTTGTAATCGGTCGGGCAAATCAGCTGTGGACGTCAGTTTATGTTCACCTAGTATATCTGGTAAAGCGTTCCTTCTGCCGGTTCGTCCAGTCGTTAGAAAATCGGGACTGATATCTATGTATTGCACTTGAGTGACATCTTTATCTTGATTATTTGTCATTTCTGCAGCTACCATCCTCAATGCTACACATAGTTTAAACACTATTATAGCAACATTATTGACTTAATAGATATAATATTAGAATATAAGCAGAAAATAAATGTCATTAGAATACTCGGAAACGTGTAATATGCACGATTGTTTAAGAAAACCAACTACCTAAATCCTTAACGGATGATTATATCATTATATATTTAAAGACTACTTATTATTAACACATTGGTAATATCCATGCATTTTAGGAACTTTTAATAAACAAAATATTTGTATTTAAACTTTAAAGAGAAGAAGGTAGAAAGCAATCTAATATGCACATATTATTTACTCCAAACTATGATTCGTACATGTGAAATTAGATGTAAAAATATTATTAAAATTACACCTACAATTTTGAAAAACCGAATATTATATCACTATGTTGGGTTAAAAGCAATATCTGGATCAATCATATTCTAAACGGAATCATTAGTATTCTGAATCTTGTCTGTATTGTCCAACTGAAATTTAAACAGCTAAACGGCTAATCTTTTTACCTATGACATCCATCATTAATCATGCTGAAAAACCGAATCGGAACACTCAAAATATTAAAATAAAATGGACAACCACACAAGACAGGTAAACCACAGAGGCACAAGTCGACACAGAACAAGTAACACGTAGGTAAGACAGATTCACCTGATTTATTAAATATATTTTTGCGGTGCTTGCGGAGCGTTATTGACTTGTCACACAGACCGTTGTCAGCCGACTCTGGCGTCATTGTGTCACCACACTTAGGTACCTGCATCGTTCGACGAAAATCAAGGAGCACTGTCAGCGGACAAGCAATGGACGGTGGCAAGGCATCGGTTGCACATTGTGCACACCGCCAGCCGTCCAACGACGACCGTATAGCTATTGGTTTCGGCCCTATCAACGTCTAGACGTAATCTAGAGGTTAAAAGGCCGACGCGCGGGTCGAGCCTAGAGATAATGGTCGCAAGTCACGCGAGCGAGCGCATCACTCAATCGGCGGCTGGCAAACGACGAGAGTAGGGGAAATAAAATAAAAAAACAACTAAAGAATATTATTAAAAAGGCGAAACGGCGACGATGACGAAATGTTTTTTTATTATTAATGGGAGTACGACGATCGTCTATAACAACTCTATAACCACCAACGATTTACGAAGGAGGCAGCGGCACCACCACTCGACCGTCCGTACTACAACTTTACATAATAATATCATTAATATCATTGTCGTTATTCGAGCGAGTAACGGCCTCGACGGTGCCTATTGTAAATACGTTATTATCATTATTATTGCAAAAACATTTATTATCATCGTCGTCGTCGTCGTCGTCGTAGTCGTAGTCGTCGCCGAAATGCTTGCAAGTCGCAGCTGCGTTACTCACCGCTATGACATCGCCGGCGTGCGTGCGTTGCGGGGGCCACAGCGTCTTAACGGCGACGCATTTTTCGTGCGTGCGCCGCTGCGTCCTCGAGATTCGTGTGGAGTTGGTGGGCGCGTTCGTCGGCCACTTGACGATCCTCGTTGCGCTTTTCCTCGACCTGCACTAGTGCACTGGTCACCCACCGCACGCACCGAACGAGACTTGAATTCGCCGAGACGACGACGACGACGACGATAACTTTTACAGCGATTTGCGAGTTACGACGGAAGTCGGACACGCGAAACGAGATGATGATAATATTGTTATTATTTTTGTTGTTATTATCGCGTACTCGTTATCAGAGAGTGCCGAGCGGTCAGCTGCAGTTCGGATTACGATCTTTAACAATAATCTTAGCACAGATATCTTATTGATGCATAGAATACGAGGACGTGATGCTATTTAATATTATGCTCCGCTTGAATTCGTCACGAATTAGACGAATACCGTCCAACAACCAATACTCATCACTCACGAATCGCGATGTCGTCGCGCCGTCGCGGCTGTCGTCGTCCGTGTACTGATAAATGATAACGCCATATTGGGGTTTGTGGCGCGCGCGCAAGGACGTCACGTCGGGTGGGACGCGCAAGACAGTGACGTATTTGACATTTTTATCCACCGAAGCAATATTTTTATACATTTTTATTGTTGTCGTTGTCGACCATAATGGTACCTTTTTAGTTATTCTCTGTGGTCTGGTCTGGATCAAGATTCAAGATAATAATAATTAATAATACTATAGTCTATAATCACAGTATCACACGGGGGTCTATACTTCTAAATTCTCGTGTATTATTATTTTTTATTCAAGTACCAATACTATATTATAGGTACCCAGGGGCCAGGGCCGTATTTAGGGGGGGGGGAATGGAGACATTTTCCCCGGGGAGCCAAATATTAATCTATTTAGGGGGTGGGCGGGCACTGCTATTTTTCCAAAAACAATTTTAGAAATGAGTATCTATTTAAGAAACAACAACCTTATAGAAGTCTCTCCATACATTGGCATTGCATTAAAAATGATACCCTCTACTAGATAGCTACAATCTGTTCAGCTGAACGGTATTTCTCTACTCTAAAGAGAGTTAAAAGCTATTTAAGCCAACAATGAAAGAAGAAAGACTGAATGCATAGCTGTTCTAAACATAGAATTCGAAATTCGGAAATCACTAGACAATTATTAGACTACAAAAATATTATTGAAGAGTTTGCCAATAAGCAATCTAGAAAACAATTATAATCATTGTACATATTGCATTCATTTATGTAGATTTTTTTTATAAATAAAAAATTATAACTAAAATTTGTTAAGAAAAATCAAAAAGTGGATCTATTTTTTGGTTGGGAAGGAATGGCGTAAAAATATGGTTGGCCCATAGTAACAATTGTAAATACGGCTCAGTAGGTACCACATTTACATTGTCATAGAAGTCTGTGACTTATGTTATTATCATCATTCGTGAAAATTAGAAATAACAAATGAGATCAATGAAGCATTCTAGCACCACAACCGCAATATTAAAAAACAAAATTTCCTAAGAAAATCATCACGGTGACAAGGTTAAACCTACTTAAACTGCCACTGGTATAGCACCACGGGCGTTTGCGTAGGTAGCATGTAAACCGTGATCAATGATTAGTTAGGGCAGAAGATTTAAACCTTTATAAAAAAAAACACCAAATATGCACTAAAATGTGCAAAATATGCATATTATAATGTATTAAAAATATGCATTGAAAAAATAAGGTTATTTGTATGAATATATTTTATTTAGATTTTGATGTCTGCGACCGACGTCTCCGTGATCCGTATTGATAATATCTTGAGCAGTGAACAATATCTGTTCATAAATAAAATTAATAACCGGAAAATAAATCTAATCGGTAATCCTCGAGACGTGTCTCTAGGAAAAACATGAGTGTAGGAATAACAGTCAACAACCATATTAATATGATCAAAATTTAAAATAATTTAAAATTCAACACTATATTAGATGTATTTTAAATATTTAAAACAAATAAAAACGTCGTCGGTAAAAATATTGATAACGCATGATAAATTATTGAAAATATGCATCTATTAACGTATAGACTCGTAGAAATATGGACTAAAACCAAAAAAAACTCAAAATATGCATTTATATGTAAAATATAATTTCAAAACTAGCTTTGTTTGAGAATGAAACTTATTTGTTTCTTATTCTGCTGATTTTGTGATCGTGCAAAACAAATATGCAAATGATCTGCCGTCTGCCCTAATGATTTACCTACTTATATTATAATAATTCGTATCATAATTTTATATTTTTAGATAATATAGTATGATATTTTATATGGATACTAGACACTTTTTATTTTAACATTTAAAATAAAAAACTTAATAGCTATATTAAAAAATTACAGGGAGGGGGCCCCGAATCCATAATATTATGGACTTATCTCCGAAACCATAGAGGCCACGAGCGACGAGCCCATTCAATAAATATTAAATACAATCTTGGCAATCACAATACATTTTAAATTCTGAGTATTAAGATTAATTAGTATTGAAAAAATGTTTAATTGGTGATATATATATATTACATTTTAGATTCTATTTTAATATTTTTTTTTTGTGTGCCATCACGGTTTCTTACAGAAGAAGTTCTTTGATTTTCTTCAACAGCAACTTTTCTGGGAGAAAAGTGAATCTAGTTTGGGCATTCGGGAGGTCAAAATTTAAAATTCCCAATAGTTTTCAAAAGCAACAGGAAAAACAAACCAAAAATTAAGGAAAAACGAGAATTTTCACTCAAAACCATTTTTCGAAAAAATCGATTTTGGTTCTTGGTGTAACGTTCATAACAAAAATGACCGTAAGTTAATGACATTTTCATTGAATATTTGTGAAAGCATTTTCTATACACCATAAAAATTTCAAAATATTTTGATTTGTGTTGAACTATCTATAGGCATATGAAATTTTCGATTATTATTTGTTTATTTTTTTCAAACCGAAGTCGATAAAAAATTTTTCGCTTCATCAGAAAACTTGAATATGTAATACAAGATTCCTTGTAGGTCGTTGTTAGTGGAAATTAAATTATATTTAGTTAGAAATTCATAAAAATTTTCTATTTAGATCTAAATGTTAAAAATGTAATACAAGATTCCTTACAAGTTTGTCTGTCTTTATCTAAAAAAATTTCTACCGGAGTCAAATTAAATACGAGCGTTTGAAGTTGAAAATTTTACAACATTGGATATTCGCTCGATTTCTCTTGTAGCAATTTTCTTATTTTGTCGTAATTAAAATGAACACCAAATGGTTATTTCATCAATTTATCATATACTTGATATGATTATAATGTTCAAAATATTATGACTCGTTTTAAGCTGTTGACTGACATTTTCAAATTTCATTATTTTTTCTATAAATGGCAATAGAATTTTATTGGTTGGGTAAAAAAGCATGAAAATTTAATACAAGACTCTTGATAACTTGTTACAATAACTGTTGAAAAATATTAAAAATACATACGTAGGCAAGATTTTTTTTCATAAGGATTTAAAGTTCAAATTTAAAATGATTTTGCAGTTAAAAATGTATAAATTTTTCAATTTTTAAAGCTAAGGATTGAAAATTTAAAACAAGGTTCCACTTGGCAGTTTTTTCCATAACTAAGAAATCTAAAAAATGTATGAATATAGTTATTTTTTAGACATTTTAAGTTTAAATTTGGACAAAATTGCATATGAGCACCAAGAATAACGTTTATCATTTTGTCGTAATTCGGTTCCATAACAGCCCAATTTTACATAGGTATGTTTAATATTTTTCCAGCATCAATGATTATTTAAGAATAATATTAATAATAAGTAATAACAATATAAAATATACTAGACTGACATGCCGTCTCCGCTCAGAATCGTTTTTCGTATACAATGATTTGATATCGTATTCAAATTTAATTCCATCCATTACAGCGACCTCCTATACACTTAATGTACAGCAGAGCGACATCCACTGACCCGCTTTTTATTTTTCAAATTATAAATAATAAATTGAGTAAAATATGTAACATAATATATGTTTGTACTTCAATTGTATGCATCATGAAACAAATTTGTATCAAATTAGATTTTGAATATGCAGCTTGCTTTGAAATATGCAAATGTATGAAGTTCAGGCCCTGCTCAAAGGAATCTTTTACTCAGATTTAGATCCGTTTCATATGGACATGTATCATACGTGACGTATCGTGCGGGTTTTTAGTTTACAGTGATTGAGACGAAGGAAACGCGTCACAGCCGGAGCATGTGAAACGGCCCCTACAGATAACAAATTTAAAATGTTCAGAATTTGTCCAAAAACCCAGGGACGTCTGCTGTATAGGTGTCAAGTGATGTACCTGTTTATTAAATAGGCCACTGTAATGGATGTGTTTAAATTTGAATTCATAATTATTTCACGAGATTTATCATGATTTAAATTTTCAACATAAATAAATCTCATGATGTATTATGAAATCAATTTTGAATGGATACGTCTGTCAACTTATATCTGTATACAAAATAATACATTTTCATTAAATTATTTTTTTGTTTATAATGTTATTTTTATATTAGATAGGTAACTGAATAGGCCATATTAAAAAATTTAAATACTTTTATAAAGAAAAAATATATGTATTTGTTTATCAAGTATTAACATTATTTTGTCTTAAGCATAGGTCGCACACATAGAGTTAAATATTTTATAACCTTCCATTGATTCATTGATAAATACAAACAATGAATTATTATTATTAAACTATTCTACATTCCCATAGCAAAATGTGTTTGAATTTTTATATAAGAATGGAAAATAATAATATAAAACTATAATTATTTTGAACAAAATAATATTATTAAAACCCTTTATTTACTTAAAGACGATTTTAAAATTTTAATTATATTGTAAAAAACATATTTATTTTAATTTAATTTAATGAATACATAAAAAACCCAATTTAATTGTTTTAACAAAATATATCATACATTTAAAAATAAATAAAAGCATATATTATAATTATTTAGTACTATTTAATATTTTAAGTTAAACTTAATTAGAAAAATAAAAGTAACAATCAATATTGATTATGAATTGCAAGTATAATGTATAACAATTATATTTTTTGAATGGGTAAATATCTAAAAAAGAAGAAAAAAATTGTTGCAACAGTAAAAAATTCAAATTAAATGGGTCGAACGGGAATAAAATTAACTTAAACAATGCAAATAATATCTTAAAATAATTAAACAAGAGGTATTAATATTGAATTAAAAATTAAAATAAATGTTTTTGTTTTACTCTGAATCATCATCATCATCGTCATCCTCATCTTCTTCTTCTTCTTCTTCAGATGAAGAATTGACTTCCTTCTCAGATGCACTAGAATCATTTTTCTCAGTTAAAAATTCAGGTTTTCTCAATTTTAGATACAATTGCAAATCATCCGCAGAAAGAGATCTTAAAAATACTTTCAAATTTTTCATATATTCTTTTTTAAGTGCCTTAAGTTCATTTTCATATATTGTTTGTTTTCGTCCATTTTTTTTGTTCCAATCTTCTAAACTTGTAATTGGGTGTTTATCATTTGGTTCTAATTTACTTCTGTATAGTTCAAATGCATTTGCATAAGGTACTGGTTTTGGTTCATTTTTGAATGTTTTAGTTTTTGAGTTATATTTTGAAGTATCTTTTTTCTTAGATTTTTCTGTAGGTTTTTCTGAAATAACTTCTCTAGCATTAATCCTAGGTACAACTTTTGGTTCAGGTTTCTCAGCTTTTTTAGGTTTTATTTTGTTTTTAGACATTTCTAATTGTTTTTCATCTTCTGGTAGTGTTTTTAAGTATGCATCAAATTCAGTTTTATATCGCTCAGTTATAACTTTTAACTTATCAGAATAAATTTGCCGCTCTTCATTAGAAAAAGCTTTCCATTTCTTTGCCAACACTGACATTCTCTCTTTAGGAGGAACACCATTTAATGCATCACTTTGCAACATTTCTTTAGAGAAAAGACCATAATTATTGACTGGAGGTTTTTTTGGTTTCCCTGATTGAGAATCCAAAATATTTCTATCACCTTTGGTCAAAGCACTTTTTGTAGGCATAGTGAAAGCAGGATCATTTTTATGGTCTTCTTTTAGATTATTTAAATATGTCTGTTCTCGTTCGTTTGCCAATTTAATCCATTTTGATTTTTTCTTTTCTGACATACCTTCCCACTTTTCTTTTAATTTGTTATGAATATCAGCTTTATCAACATTACCTGAATCTAAATCTGATGATTTCGATTCCATAAAAACTTGAAAGGGAGTTTTCGGTTTATTTGATTCTTTAAATTTGAAACCTACATTTGTTTTATCAACCATTTCAATATATTCAGTCTTTAATTTTTGTGCTCTATCAAGAAATATTTGTTTCTTGTCAGGAGATAATTTATTATATTTTTCAGCAATAATTTGTGTCAACTGTGGCAATTTTAAATCTGGATGTTTTTTCCTGTATTTTTGTAGAAGTTCTGTGTAATATAACATGTATGCTGTTCTAGGTTTTTGTAACCGATTTGTTTTTGAACGATATGTATCAATGCCTTTAGTTTCCAATAAATTTCTAGCATCATGAATAAGATCACCTATAGTTTTAAATGTTCTGAGCTGATCTTGTATTGCTAACCAAGTAGATTGACATTCATCTTTACTATAACTATCAAATTGAATTTTTTCCCAGTCTAATTTGGAGAATCGACTTCGAAATGTTTGATTGTCATTCTTAGGAAGTACCGACTCCATTTTAGATAGTAGCTTTTGAATGTCATCTTGAGGCCAACGACTGATAACAGGATTTTCATTTTTTACTTCATTAATTAATCCATTATCATGATCAGACTGCTCATCAGAATCTTCAGAAGAAGAGGAAGAAGACGATGAAGACTTTTTTTCTATAATACTTTTTCTTTTTTTATCAGTGCTTTGAACAGCATTAATTGACTTTCTTTTACGGTCCAAGCCCATTTTTATCTGGAAATAATAATCAAGATTTAGTAATGGCTGTTGGAATAGATTCTTCATCTTTATATTGAGAAGACACTACATCCAAAAGCGTTGTCTTTCTTACAAAAGCATAACATTGTAAATATACAATCTGAAAAATCCATTTAACTATTATGTTTAATATTATAGTGAACTGTCATATCATCACATTTTCAAGTAAGAATATTTGCTGGTGAATCTTGTAGGTATTAAATTATAAAAATTAAAAAACAAAACTTATGAGATTCACTACATAATATGTCTTACTGCAAAGTTCAATAATGAGTGATAGTTCACTCCAATATTAATTTAACAGAGTTAATTGGATTATTCAGAACGTACATTTTGCTATGTTATGCATTTGTATGGAACATACTTATAGGTGTAACTAGGGGTGGCGCTACGCCCTCCCTGTCATAGTTCCTATACTCACATCAACAACGGTAGCTACATTAATAAATATCAATTTGAAATATGGTTTTATTTGTTTATTTAACCTATACAATATTATTTGTATGGGATGAGTCTGTGTAGTTGTCAATAAAGTTAACACAGAAATAATCTTCACCAAGAAGAATAGACTATCAAACATTAATGTATAAATGGTGACAAAGACTAACAATGCCGCTTATAGGTCCTCTAAGTCAGGGGTTGCCAACCAGTGGTCTGCGAGAAAATTTAGGTGGTACGCGGAAAAATAACTAGAAATGAGCTAGAAGTAAAGCTCTATGACTTGCAGTGACTACATTGGAGCCAAAATTGCACAAAATTCTTCAAAACAAACCAGGAACAAATATCACATTAAAATCTTTTTTATTATTTTAAGTATGTATTTTTTAATATTAATTTGGTGTAACATTTATCAGTAGTTTTAGTGATCAGCAAGGTCCTAAAGGTTGGCGACCGCTGCTCTAAGTTGTCTAACATAGCTAATGACAAAGATTTATTAAATGTTCTAAATACAAATATTAAAAAAAAAAAATGCCAATACTCTAATGACCCATATCAATTATTTAAGTTTCACTTAAATTATAAGAAAATTAAAATCTTGAATTTGTAACTAAAATAATATATTTTAGTAATTTAATGTTTACTTCATTCCACTTTTTTAATGGTTCGTGTACACACTTTAATAATCAAATACAATCAATTTTAATTGAATTACATTTACATTTAGTAACAATGCAGATCCCCCACTCATTTTACTTAGTATACAAATTCCTCCTTAACTTTAAGGTCTACTTACGCCTATGAACATACTTTATTTAGGTTTTTTCCAAAATTACAGTTAACATTTTTCAGAGAAACATTATATTAATATCTGATACAGAACAATACGTGATGACCATAGACATTAATATTTTTATGGAGATAATTATGTAATAATATAAACTAAAATAGTATCTTAGTCACGTTATTAGTTTGTGGAGATAAATTTTAATATCAAGAGTAGTAGATATTAGTTGGTTGTTGCCTCGCAATAAATATAAATATAAAATTTATCGAGTTGCTGTTCACTGTAATATGATATTTTTAATACACCGTTACAAAATGTTTAAATAAAAGTAAACAATTATAAATTGTTTACGATTTACAGAACCATAATTAATAGTTTTATTACACATAAAAAAGAATAAGAAGTTTGTAAAGATCCTTAAATGTCGCTCATGTTAAGTTCTGCAACCTGTGTATGATACGTACAATAAAATATTTTTATTTAATTTTAATATTGAGATATATATCATCTAATAATTTAAAACTAAAAAATTACAAGCTAGGGGTTCCTGCAATAGTAATATTATAAAATACACAAATGTAATAGTAAGCTTAGAGCTATTAGAGCCAAGAGTTTTATAAAGAGTTGGTATTTTTAACAAACGAGTGCGGGGATCAGCTAGTAATAAATAATTTACAAAAATGAACGCCATTTATGGGCAAAGAGTACAGTAGGTAGGTAATATTAAGTGTCTGGCAACTTATTTGAAAATAGGAGAGTGATAATAATATGTATAAAGTAGGGATGTAAAAGTTAATCTTAAAATTAAATACAATTAGATTGATTTCATTTATACATAAGTATAATATAAAATTTTGAGTTATACTCATTAAGTTATAACTTATTTCAACTTACTTGGTGAATCGAAAAAGAAGTCAATTATAAATGGAATTGAAATTTAATAAAATTGTATTTAGAGGGCATAATGACTTTCGTTTAGTTTTTGAGGTTGTACATAAGTATTGGTAAAGCGGAAAGTATGGCTTGGTATATTTTAAGGGATTTTGGCAAAAAAATGGCATACATTTCCACAAATTCTTAATCAGTTATTTTCATATTTTCTTAACCCATATTAATTATGGCACAAGAAAATAACAATTTTTAATATTTCTTTCCTTTCTCTGAATATTAAAAGTGAATTTTGTGGTATTGAATGTTTACCTATTAACAGGGGTGCTCGTGTATTTTGAAACACCTGAAAATTTTATTTTGAGTCAATACACTAACCTACCAACAAAAATTATCTTCTTCAAAACGATATAGAGCAGCGATTCCTTAAATATGCATAGTGAGCAAATTCGAGGGGCCTCACTGCATGTATGTTTCTATTTTTTTTCACACTATAAGCCTGATTAGTAACCTATGAATATTGTCATGGGGAAAATCAATTTTCAGCGCATCTACCTACAAATAAGATAAATATAATTTTAAAAATGCCTCAATAAGTTGTAAATTAGGTAGGATAACTAAATTTATTTGAAGACTAGCTGTTAGTGAAACTGAGAGTGAGTGCCACTGGTTCCTATTTACTGATGTACCTGATTGAATATTTCTAATTTAGTCTTATAAAGGTGCAAGTTAAGTTAAGTAAGGAACAAATGATCTGGAGTAACACATATTTCTTTAAATGTAGAAAAGTTGTTGACAGCAGTGTTTAAGTGCCTAATTATCAGTCATCGACAGTAGGTATAAATCAAACATGGATTGGCTGAATGTGATTTTCTGGTAGTTTTTGTGGGTAAGTTAAAAAGTATTAACTTCAAAGCTGAGATTGAGTGTCTAGTTATTTGTCATTTAGGGCAAAAGAGAATACCTGGAATTAACTCGTGTGCAGGTAATTTTTTAAGTTATATCATACCAAACTAGTACGGAGAGCACTAATATTTACTGGTTTTATAATTTGATATAAAGACTTCAAATATCAACTAGGTACCTATTTGGATTCTGCAGTCTTTGGTTATCTAATTCAAGATCTTGTAGAAATGTAGACTATATACATTTACTTAAGATTTAGGTAATTATATTTAAATTTTAAACATTCAAAGTAATGAATCAGTGCCAAAAATTAAGTAGACAACTATGATAAAAAGGGGTCATGATGTGAAATGAGTTATTTTGTCTTACTATTTAAAATTTTAAACTAAATTAACTGAGAAAAATAAGGTTGGACTAATGTAAAAAATATGATTGGTAGTATAACTGGAATAACTGATTTAGATGTGAAATAAAAGTGTGTAGGAATGTTTGGAGAACGTTGAAAAAACTGTTAGCTAAAGGCGGTATTCGGTATTGGTTGAACCAGTAGTGATATAAAAAACATGATCCTTTTTACTCAAACACTTAATTTGAAAAATATACATCTTGATATGAGAGGGGAGGGACATTTAAACCCTAATTTTGAACCAGACATAAACTGGGCAAACGATAAATTAATATTGTTAACTACCAGATACCATGCACGATGGGATTTCGTAAAACGCGAGTCATAATCTAATAACTATTAAAAAAATATGCTTATATTAAATTTAGGGGCTTCAAACTGAACGGGACACTTGTTGAGTTATTATAATTAAAATATGTACCACGTTTTAAAGATCGACAATAGGTACTCGAAAAACGTTATAAACAAAGAATGTTCCGACTTGAAACTGTTATGTAGACGATACTACAACAAAATCATCATACTTACGTTTGTTTCGAACAATTCAATATAAAAGCCAATGATCCAACGGTCACAATTGGTCCCGTGAACTACAAATAACGAAATCGGCGGCAGTGACGATGTATGAATGGAATACGGTCGTGCGTGCAGGCACTAGGCAGTGTCGAAAATTCCGTTACAAAACACTAATGTCGTCGATACCTCATTGCCTCCTAGTCATAACCGCGTAAAATTGTCGGGCAGCAAATACACGCTTATGTGTGGTGGATTTTTGTTGATAAAACAGCAATTTGATATTTTGTTTACACCGCACGGCCATGGAAGAAACGACTACGATTTACCGGAAGTCGTTATGAAGTCATGACGTGTGCGCGCGCAAAATATTTCCGACATGATACCTAACCTAATAACAGAGGCGAATGGGTTGCGGTGCTTGTCCAATATTATATTATTATTTATTAATTTATCAGGTGTCCGGCAGCTTAGACTTATGCTTACTCGTAATCCGTTAGGCTTAGGCGCTCTGCAATCAGCAGTTTACGTTTTAGTTTCTTATTATTTAAGGCGGAAAAACATTTGATGGGGCCAATAATTCTTCTCCCTCTGGCCTCCGTCATAAAAATTTTGGTAAAAAAAATTCTCACGTTATTTTCATGAAATTAAATATAACTGAATTAAATATAATATGTAAGTACAAAGATATTATTATACTATATCAGTGTATTATTATTTATACTTATATATTCAAGTGAAATAGGAATGCACGCTAACAACTCGGTATAATGTCTATACATGTATTATACATTTATACATATATATATATTCATATTGTAATCAGAACAAAAAACAATAGGTAAGTAGGTACCTACAGCCTAAAGCCTAACAGCATTCTTAGTAAATATATATATTGTGCTAATCATAAACTATGATAATATTTTAGTTCATGATACTATATAATAGATGGTAAGTATAATAATATATATTGTAATATAATACATAATATTGTATATTAATATATTAAACACATAAATACATAATAAATAACAGTGGCGTAACAAGATAAAATCTAGAGGGAGAAAAATAATTAATTTACCAAAGTTAACACCTCGATACCCTCCCCCCTAACCAAGGGTTAGTCCTAAAACTTATTTTATGGTTTAGAAACAAAAATTTTAGGTATCAAGTACTGAGTACCCATATTGTTAAATAGTATTAAGTATTAACTATTTAGATCCTACATAAGAGTTCATGAATAAAAAATTGAAATCAGTTGTTAAAAATAGTAATAATAGGTAGGTAGGTACTAACTATAGTATAAATATTATTTATACATATTTTATATTTGATGAACAATAAATAATAATCAAATAATATTTTAATAACTTTATTAAATGCGATTATTACGATAACATTAACCGGCTCGTGAAGTTGGCCTTTCAACTATGTTAAACTATTTCATTGAGTAAGTATATTGACGATACGTCTGCATAACTTATATTAATATATTATTATACAACAAGAGAAACATAAAATAAATGTACTCTGGTGAAATAGTTCGAGGAAAATATATTTTAATATTATTATATTATGTTAAATATATTGCATTCTTTCTTAACTTAAGAGTATTCAAAGGTTTTTATTGTTTTATTATTTGTGAGAGGGGGGGATGATACATTTGCCTCTGTACAAAAATGTCAGGGGGAAAGTGCCCCCCCTTTCCACCACTCAATTACGCCACTAGGTAATAAAATATATTCTAATTTTATTCTTAAAGTGTTATACTATTTTTAAAAAATGTCTGTACTTCTTATACACAAATTAAATTAATAATTTATCAATAAAATAATAAAATTGAAGTTACAAACCCTTTAATTATTATTTAGAATATCATTCACATCAAAAACGAATAACTGTATCTACATGGAATTTTTACTAAATGTTTATGTAAGCATTCTTCGAACACGATAAAAAATTTCAAAGTTTTTAAATTATTTATAAAACATTGACTTTTTCGACTTTTTTTACTTTTTTTTCTTTAAATATCATTAAAAGTGAATAACCTCAGATGTCAGGATTATTATTGACAGATAATTGCCTAAAACCTGATCCTTGTAATTTATTAGTAAAATACATTTGATGTTTTTTACCATTTCGTTTCTAACTTGATGTTTTTGTCCATGCCTTTTTTCTTTCTAGAAAGTAGAACGATATTATAACTTATAAGAATATATGAAAATGAGTAACGTCCATGATTTATGGAAAGTTGAACGCAATAACGCGTTGTCTCCTAATAATTAATACTGAGAATCCTATATCTATTTGTAGTTTGTACTTATTATGTACAAAGATAAAGTTATATATCTTTAATTATTTTATTTTTATTTTAACATTTTAACCCAGACTATTTGTAAACTGGACATTTTCTGGAGGTAGATATAAAGGTACAGTACATTAGTACACGTACAATTATAGGAAAATATCTTTAAATATAATTACAATAATACATATAGTTCGTTATCTATAATATATATAATATTTAAGTGAATAATTAATACTAAATAGAAATCGAGCTATTCTTAATCCTTAAGTAGGTACCATAAAGTCTAAAAACATTTAAATTTTAGAATATTTTAACTAATTTAATGAACAAAATGTGTATTATTTTACTATATTATTCTACAAAGTTCTTGGTACTATTTTGACATAACAACCGTCGACAAATTTAAGTGTCGATAAAAACATTACTCTTAGGTGTTTAGGCGTGGGATATCTTTCCGACGGGAAAAATGTATTTTTTCGCACTAGTGTCGATATAACGGTTTTCATTTGGAGCATGCCATATTTGATCCCAATACAATTTCTGTATCCCGCACTGAACGGTATGAATGAGTATGGATGTCGGCTGCGACACGTATCAGGCAAAAAGTTGTCTGGGTTAAACTTCTCTGGATCAGTGTAATACTGCTCGCTCGATTGTATAAATAGTGGACTGATTATCAGTGTTGAACCTTGATAATTCAAATTTGAGTATTAATATAAACCATTAAAATATATCTAGTATAGCTACTAAAATACCGGCTGGACACAAATATTCGCCAATTTTCATTTCCTTCTCTAAACTTCTACCAAACACAGGCAAAGGAGGTAAAACTCGTAATGTTTCTTTGATCACTCGTTCTAGATATTCCATTTGTTGTAAATCTTCATATGTTGGTGGTCTATTATGATCGGCGATCGAAAATATCGATTGTAATTCCTCAAATACCTATAACTCGGAGAAATAACTATAATTTAAGTAAACAAAATTGTGCACATAAAGAATTGATAAAATATATTTGCCTTGTTCTGTACATCCGGATGATGAGCTAACATAAAAATTACACATGCATTGGCCATTGCAGTAGTTTCTTGTCCTCCTAAAAATATAAATAATTAGCCCACATAAAAACTAAAAAAAGAAAATAACAAAAAATAAATAATTATTTTGAAATAATTAGGAAACGACTTTAAGTTTAAAAAAAAAAATCAGTCTATATTTATTTAATTGTGCACTGGTATCTAATTTATTTACCTATTATATACGTTTAGGTTCCGTTATAGTTTAATAAAATATTAGATTATACTATTTTAATTTAACTGTCTTAATTATCTGTAAAATAATTTTCAGTTTTTCTTATAAATATTAAACAATAATCATTATTGAAAAACAAAAATGTATTTTATGTTTTAAATGCCCAAACCAATATACCTATGTAAATTACATAGAATATAATGAATACTGGTCAAGTTTATTTTTTATTTATATGGCATCAACTGCATGGTTATTAGTTGGTTTTTACTATAGGGGAAGGTACGGTTGGTTCGGAACACGTGTATGTGTGGCAAGGATTGTCACTAAGGACCCGGGCAGTCACCCATTCATTAACTAGTGACACCGGCCGGTGCTGACTGCTGGCATCGGTAGACATTTGTAACTGAAGCCAAACACCTCGCCACACCAAGTAACTCTGACCAGGTTTATGCATACATATATTTTTTTCATATTTACCAATCATGATGGTTACAAGTTCATCTCGTATTTGCTCATGTGACATTTCATGATAGTTTCCTAACAGAATTTCTATAACTGTTTTTGTTTTTCGACAAATATCTTCGTCACTTGTTTCTACTTGTTTTTCATTATTTGCATTTTTGTTCAATTCATCAAGTTTTTTATTAATTATTTCGTCTGTGAACTCGTTTATGATTTTTTGACTTTTATCGTGTTTTTGTTTGACTGATGAAAGTCGAAATAATGTTTTGCTCAAGTACCACGGATGTGAGATTCTATATTCCCATGCCTAAAATAATAGTGAATAAATATTAAGATAAGTTCATAATCATACGATCTTAACTATATTTGCTCACGTGCATAGCTGTTTGTAAATTTTCGACAAATCGATGACGACCGCCATTTTGAGCATTAAATTTTACACCCAATGCAGTTTTTCCTATCATTTCCATTGTAGCCATGCTAACAGGAACACTTAAATCACACTCATTCGATTTCAAATCATATTTTTGTTTCAGAATGTCATTGAGGACCATAGATTCTTCGTAAAATATCGGTATAAAAGATTTTATAATTGTAAAATTGAAGCCTCCAGTTACCATTTTCCTAAAATATAATAGAAATTACTATTTAATGCGAATTCTATATTTAATATTACTTTACATTAGTTACACCGTGTGTTTGTAGCCTTGAAGGTACTTATTTGTAATAATTATCTTATATTATTCTATGACCTATAGGTATCTAAATGTATGAAAACTTACCGGTTATTCTTCCATTTTTTTATGTCATCGATTGAAAATATTCCTTGACCCATGATGGATTCTTGTAAAACCAAGTATTCTTTAGATTTCTTTTGTAATTTTGGATCAGTAAGGATCATTTCTATGTCTTCAGGTCGCGTAAGCACAATGTATAGATTATTGCAGACCCATACTTTAAATAAAGATTTCTGATACCTAGAAAATCCAAATGTATTCAAAAGAGTTTGTTTAAATTTATTTACACATAATTATTGGATTAGTTTTGTGGGGCTTTAGGGCACTTAATTTATTTTTATTCAAAAAATTAGATTTTATTGTAGAATCCCTAAAATATAAATAAGCAGGTACAATACTACAATATTATAATATAACATGGCATCATGGCTTATATTTTATGAACTTAAAAATCTCAGTTTACATACAAAAAATTATACATTTATACCTCATACCTGTATGTATTAAGGGTGTTTAATGACTTACTTTTGGTACACTTTAAATCCATCTATAATAAGTTTTTCTGGTCCTTTTAGAAATAATGGTAGCATGCCAATAAAAATTGAACCATCGGGACCGGGTATTTTATTTGCCAATATTCTTTTTCTTCTGCCTTCCAATCTCAGTATCATAATTACTGCCAATATTATTATCGGAGCAATAACAGTTAAGTACCACATATTAGATTCGTTTAAATCTATTATCTGTAAAAATATTTATATTGAATATATTACTCTGTAATAACTAATATTTAATAAAAAATATATTATATATTATCATACAATATATTATAAGTTAATACAGTATATAATATTATCTCAAAAGGGATCTTTCCTTCTAATATCTGTCTATTCGAAATTCTTCTGCAGAAATACACGTGTAAGAGGGGATTATTAACTCTAATATGAGTAGCTTCTCAATTACAGACGATGGGACACTAAGTATTAAATCCCACCCGTACTGTATATACGAGTATACTCTGTTATTGAAAAATTCACTTAACTATCGTTAGTCGTTAGTCATTACCATTGCCAGTTTGGATTATTTTGCCAAATGTCAAATACATTATAGTTACGTTCAATGCATGTCATCGGCTTTGTATTGTTGGCAGAAATATAGGAACAGGGGTAGACTGGTTAGGATAGCGGGTGGACGTGTGGCGATTCTTATGCACATCAGATAATGTTAATGATTAGATAAAAATCGAATTAAAACTTTGAATATCATTTTTCTTTTATATTCAAACTGTTCCACAATAGTTTTAACCATTTCCAATGATTGAAAATATTCCAAATTTTGATTTTGCAGTTGCTTAAAAGAGGCAAAGTAATTGAAAATAATTCTGCAAAAACTTGTAGTGTAATTAAAAATTCAAATTTCAACACACTATTTAGTAAATTATTAGCTTTACTAGTAATGAGCGTGGTTTCCTCATTAGAGTTTACAATTTCATCCAAGCAATTATAATAATATCGTATAGTTAAAGAAATTGAAGAATTACATCATGTCGTTCGATCCAGGATTATATTTTAAGTCTACATGATTTAGAATTTGGTAACAATTTCATTAATGTAGTCTTTAAAAGTAACATTCGTTTTGGTGACTCTCAAAAAAAAGTGATAACCTCTTGTGTGTTACAAACAACATTCCGGATCAAAACTACAGAAGACGCTTTTGATATACTTAAATTTAAACAATGCGAAGCACAATGTGTATACAAAGCAAGATGCTGAATTTTTAGTATTTGAGCTTGTACTCCTTGATATTTTCCAGACATATTAGCCCCTCCACCATATCCCTGAATACTCAAATATTTAATATTATGACCTGAGTCATCGAATTGGTTGTAGTATTACTTTGGAAAGATTGTTACTAGATGTATTTTAAACAATAATTAATTTTAAGAAATCTTCTTGCACTTTACTATGAAAAACATTGCGAATGCACAAAACTAATTATTTACTTGTACTTATATAGTTATATCGGTCGTTTCATCAACAAGTATTGAGAAATATTTGGATTCTTTAATGGCATTTACAATTTTATCAAGAATTAAAGCAGCACAACAATCGATCAAATCATTCTCTGTAGTTTTATTGATAAAACTATCATTTTTTGGACAATTTTGAAGACGGCTTTTCAAAACATCATCACCCGAATCTATATAAAATTTCATAAGCTCTCTAAAATTTCCTTTGTTGTTTACACTATTTTGAATCAAATCTCCATCTTAATGATGACCATCTAAAACAAAATTTGACAAATACTAAGAAAAATTGTATTGATTATAGGGACGAGTTTTTTTCGATTTAATTCAATTTGCTTTTGAACATTTAAATTAAATTTAAAATCTACAGACTTTTCAGCAGATTCTACAACATTTTTGAAATCGTCCACTTTGAGAATTGAAAATTTATAATAATCGTTATTTGAACGTTTTTTAAAATATTTCTAAAGTTTTTTCGTACTTGTTTAATGATTTGGTATATATTTGAAACAAGTTTTCTTTACTTCTTCCCCCAAAATCGCTATAAAATAATACACAAGTTCTGCCCATAAACTCTTTCGTGTTTTTGGCTATAAGATAATCACGAAAAATCGTTAAGCCATTTTAATTGAAAATGTCTTAAATATTTATTTTTGGGAAAGTTGTATAAAATATCCCTTCTCCATATTTTTGTCAACACAAGATATTTGTTATCATCATTTATCTATTTGAACTTTGACTGTCAATAAAGTTACCAATATCTAATACATCAACAAATATAATTTTTTGTTCATTAATGTCAACATTTTGTAAATCTATAGAATTATTGCTATCATGTATAGGTGCTGAATTATCATTACTAGTACTTACATTTTCTTCGTTATTTACTTTAGATCGATCTTGAAATTCATCGGAATGAATTTACTTTGTAAAAAAAGACATTAATGATCTCTGTGGACAGACAGAACGATCATGTTTTCTGTGAGATTCGGTCGATTCAGAGTCATTTTTGGAACTCGACATCGTAAAATAATTATATATTTGTATTTCAATTTGCATTTTTTCAAAAATTAAATATGTAGAAAAATCAAGAGTAATGAAAAAAAGAAACCGTGTTATACTAACAATCATATTATTATGATAATACAATATAATATTCGTCCGGCAGTCACAAACCAACTAACTGAGACATGTGAACAAAATAATAATATAACAATAATTAATAGCAAATTGTGATCTAATAATAATAATTATCGGTGTTTTCCGCCGTCGTCGCGCGTCGTTACATACGACTATAATATGAGGATACGAAGTCATGTAGATAACAACTTACAATAGGTAGTTGTTTCCGTTGTATACTTGTATGTAACGACGGTAGCGGAAAGCACCGATATTATAATTATTATTTTTATTTTGAAAAATAACAAATAATATAACTTTATTTTATTGGTGGCTTAGACGAGCCGGGGTGCCCGACCCCCTTGAATCCGTATAATACTACTATTTTACGTCTATACATCAACAGATGATGATGCTATATGGTAATTGGTAGTTTAATAATATGTAATATATTATATTATCATATTATCAAAACTATACTTCATATTGTGTACAATAAATTTAATTCAAATTACATTTTAAATAGATAAATCATTTTAAAAGATGTTTGTACATTTTTAAATTTGTTGATCGTGTCTAGCCGTACCAGTGTACCACTATAGATGGGTATACCATGCATTTTTTGGTGCATAATATTTTTTTAATTTTTTTTTATTGATTTAAGGCTTCAACATTGGCCAGTAAGTAATTTAGTAGGTTTTTAACTGTCGGGAAGGGGGTCGGTCAGAACACATGTCATATACAATAAACATAAATATAATATGTGGCGAGGATTTGTTACTAAGACGCGGATGGTCACCCATCCAGGAACTGGTGTCGACGGTTGATGCTTGACCTCAGAACACATTTTTTGACTAAGGTCAACTACTGCATCATACCTACAAGCCACAAATTCATACTATATTTTTAGTATATTTTATTATACACATATGTCCAATATTGTCTTGCTAGTATATACAAATATGCCATACATATTAAATAACTATATAGTAACATTTTCGTCATTTGTAAAATAAATGTAATATAAGATAATATTATGAAAATAAATAACAATGGTTTAACAAATTTACGATATTGCATTTCAATAATTTTGTTTATAGTTACTATAGTAGGCTATATTTATGTAATATAATAATAAATGGTTTATAATTCGTAGAATTTATATGCATGATGATGCGTGTAATAAAAAATAATAACTTTGTCAGAAATATTAATTATTATAAGTTATTATATTTTAATATTTTTTTATGTTTAGTCCTAATGTATAAGGTATAGTCAATATCTCATTCAATTGTATAGGTAACTGTAAAACAATTTTTATTTTAATAAAGATAGTATATAGTAATATTATAATATAGGTATGATTATGTACACGCAAACTGAGTTTTTCGTATTAAATTATATTGGTTTTCTTAAATCCTAATCAAACGTTTCCCCGATCAAAATTGTGTTGGGCATCGAAAAAGAAAACTCTTCTCTTTTACCAGCCAATTCGTCGCGGTGCGAATTTCCTATTGCACCTATATATGTTATTATTGTACCAATGTTTGGTTGTGCGCTTGTGTGTGGACATACTATTATTTATTATTGTGAAAATTCGTTTTAACGTACCGCTGAGAGCCTATAGAGCGTAATTTACACTTGTGTTGCTATAATTTGATCAGTCCAGTACCCACTATTGATATAGTTCCGCAACGATATTTATTACACACATACGTGCATGATGGTGAAAACAACATACATTTTTTAACAATGCTACGATTATGCGGTGTATTACATCGATATATTATTATAATAATTGCAAAACGAATTTTTCAGTCGAATAATATTATAATCGCACGCTTTGTTTTTGTATCGATTCTATTATTGAAATAATCATCCTACGTTGTGCCTGTATATTATTATTACATCTTATTATCACAATCACGACTCACGAGTTTTAACATTTTTGTCACAGGAGCCGGGAGAATGCACTTACGTACGCTCATTTTGTTGTTGAATTATTTTATAGCTAGGGTTGCAAAAATCGTGCTGCGCTGCAGAGTGCAGGTGAACTACAGACTGCCGACTTCTCCGAAACGGTATAGGTATACTGCATTTGTATACACCACAAAAAAAATCATATTCGACGGGAAACATTGTAGATTGAGTAGTTCATGGTACCTATGGTAATAATTTAGATACCGGGAGATGGTATTTTGCGTAAATTTCAGTACTTGTAATTTGCGACACCAATAGGTACTTTTAAGTGCGTATGTAATTTGCGCTAAAATATAAAAAAAAAAATGTAAGTCACGCTACATTTAAATATCAATTTTAATCTGCTTCACGACAGAAAACGAAATTGCATATACCTAATCTAATAATCTGTATTACACTTCAAAATTCAATTATTGGAATTCACTAAATTTACTTTGTACATTTATTGAGCTCACAACAGTTATAACACATACAAAGTGAAGAGCCACACGTAACGTGAACATGAACAATTGGACAATTAATAATTATAATATTCAAAATGCTCACATATTTTATAGTTTGTTAAAATATTACTCATTTATACACAAAGTACGTATACCTACAATTACAATTAATAGATTACATTTTTTATTTTACTTAATGTAAATTTAAATATTTTTCTTGAAATGTATCTACTAAAATTAATTTTTTGATGAATGAAATACATAAAATGCATATGAATAAGTTAAAAAAAAATATTATTAATTATTTCAATGTGAAGCAAATTATAGTTTTTGTACGCACAAGATTGCACAAAATACATAATACCCTTATATGCATTGCAAATTTCCTCCTTTTTTGTTTTTGTTTTTGGCTTGAATCACTTAATATGTTCAAAATATTATAAGTACCTTGCATAATATCTTTACGATTCCCCACAACTATGCAGTTTAAGCTTAGTATCTATTGGAGACATAATTGTCGAACAATAATAGTTGTTTGCTGAAATTTCTAAAATAAAAATCTATTGGAGATTTTAACCTACCTACTGCAGACTTCAGTAAATATAGTTACATGCATTTTATTCTATTGCGTTGGAGGACTTTGACTGATTACATTTTAACTGCACCTATAATATAAAGGGGGTTGCATTGTTTCTAATAATTATATTATATAATATTATATAATTCAATATTCGAGATATTGAAGAGCCAAAATTACTTTAATAGTTTAATCATTATACAAGTAGTATGTTTTCATGTCTTTTAAAAACCCGAAGCGGACTGTAGAATATAGAATTACTTTTTTATAAATATTTAAAAAACTTAATTGATTCCTGTAATTTTTTTTAAATTGTAAAACAAGTTTACCTAGCGAGTATGGTGGTACGAGAACAAACATAAAGTAATTCATTTTTTAGTATGTTTAATAAGTTTTGAATACGTTTAATGTGAGTTTTTTTTCTGTCATTTCCCTTACCTCCATCGTACTCTATGTTGGTTCGTCATACATCATATTCCTATTTAAATTATAACTCATAAGTATGTAGATATGCTTATTCCGTATAACAACGAAATAGAATTTGAACCAGGAAAAAATATATTATGTCATGTGTGTATTATATATTCGGACATGGGAATCGAGCACGCGGATTTTATTTCCACATAATAGACAGTATTTGACTGTTGCCGGAATTCTCCTATGTACTTGGTGTTTTATTATTCTTCGTTAAAAGACAGTGATATGACTTATTATCTAATTTAGTTTTTTTCCCCGAATTCGTTACTATAAATTATAAAAGCGTAGCCCGCCTTACAAAAAATGTAGCGCCAATGTGGTTAGTCCGATATAAGAGTGCTTCGACAGGTTATTGAAATATTGAACTGTAATATAGAGGGCGCCTAATAAAATAAATTATAGAAATTATATTTGGAAAATACTGTTAAATTCAAAATACGTGTTTGTTTCCATAAAATAGTTATTAATTCTAATTTGAAATCCAGTCAATTAAATATAGGTACAGTTTGCTTACCTAGGTATTAATTACTATAACAATAATTAATAAGTAATAATTTAAAAGTATAAATTGGAAAACTTGACTCCTAATATATTTTAGCCTAATTCAGTTATTTGTTGTACCCTTGAACAGTTGTACGTTAATGAATAATCTGTCCTTAGATAGTTATGGATCGTGCATTCAGATTTTCAAAATTAAAATCTACGGTAACTTATATAATAATATGCTATAACTTTATGAGTATATTTCGTATTAACACTAATAAATTGCATTTTCGATAGGTACTGTCATTTTTTTAAACCTTAATCGTGTTTTTATTTATTCATAAGAATTCACGACTATATATTTACTCAAAAGGAACTTAAGCTAATCTATTTACCTATATGATAAATTATGATTTACCTTTTGTATGAGTGTGTTCATTTTTGGTTTATAATTTGATTGTAGTTCACTACACAATACCGAATGACAAGTAGCATACACAACGTAAGAACGAACAGTAATGTAATTGGACCTCTATAATGGCTCACTTATATTATATTTTCCCTTCCCTTGACAGTTTGATTTTGTAGGTTTAGTATATGTTTACATATATATATATATATAATATATAAACATATATGTTTACATATATATATATATATAATATATAAACACATACAAAAATATGTGTATATTTATACATGTATCATGTGTATTATAAATATGAACATCCATAATTATTTATACAACTAATGCGTAGTTCGTAATTTTTCTATCGTTAAATTATTTTCCTCAACATCAAAACATTTGATGTATTCTCTTATTCTATTTTAATCATTTTAACTAACTTCAAACACAGCAAAGAAGCAATTCCGCTGAAAACGACAATTAACGACCGAATTAGACATTTTCACTAATTTACATAATATGATGAGTTGTACTTAAAAATGTTTTGTTGTTACATTAAAATAAAAACCAGACTTCTCCATATTTGTGATATCTCTATATTTAACAATAGGATTTGTCTGGTAACAACACAGTTTTTTTCTTCTTAATAATGTGTAATAAAAACCTTATTTTACAAAATATGGAATGTCTTGTTATCACTCCCAGGTCTCCGATTAACAAATATATTTTTTTATGAATAATACAATATATTCTTAAAATTAAATAAGAATATAAGCTGAATAATTCTCTAATCTCCAAAATAAGCTTTAATATGGGAAATAATTTTTTTCCACGATTTCTGTAATGTATAAATCGTCCACATATTTACCCCCCTTGAGTTACTTACCTACATAAAGTTAACAAATCTAATATGTAAATCCTAAAAATCTGCTCCCTGGTATATGATGCATACAAAACAATATTATAATCTATAATTGATTGCTAATTAATCACAGATTATATTTTAGTGATGTTATATTCGGGATTCTTTAACTAATGACTTAAAAAAAAGGATTTAAAAATTTGTCAAATTTGTAACGATAAAATGTACGGTTTACCATAACTAAAAACCTTAACGATACCTACATCGATTTTAGTTATTACTCTGCTGAGGCATCTAGAACCGACCCAGGCATAATATGAAGAAATATATAACATAGGCATTAAAGGGTGTAGCAGGAAGATCTGACAAATGTAAATTGTTGTTCTAATCAATACTTTTTAATATGTTTTTTATACATTTATAATTATTTATTCATGTATTGAGTCTTGCGTTATACGTATAGTATAACATAATTTATTTATTTTTTTGAATGTTAAAAATAAAATAATTAGTCTGATCAAATTTTAAAAAAAAAGATTCAAAATAGCAAATTTGCAAATTTAGATTTTAGAAAACTTTTGATTGTAAAAAGATTTACTTGAGCCATAGTTTTTATCTTACAATTTTTTGATATCTCCTCATATTTGTTAAGAAAAGTTATTTAAGTCGTAAATATTACCTACCTTCTATTATATTTGTACAGGTAATTAATGTTCTACGGTAACAAATTCGATTCATTGATTGACTTGTATATACTTTTATATTAATACATATTAGCATATAATCTAAACTGCACCAACCACATGGAATTCGTGTTTAATTAGATACCTGTTATAATATAATGTTGTATAATATAAAATATGCAATATTAATTATTGTATAAATATACAATATACATATTATACATTTGGCATCATTGGACATTGATAATATAATTAACTAAAAATGTTTATTTGTAAGTTATTATTATATTATCTTGTCAAAATCTAAACGTTTACAGAGCTTAAGCTGCGCGCAGGTACAACGTTAGCATATCGCTTAATTAATTAATAAGCAGACGTAGATACCTTCTGACTAGCGATTAGTAGTATAGGGTACAGCATAAACGTTTAATAATTAATAACAACTGTTTCCTAAAAACTCTCGTCAACTTATTTGAAGCATAATGTTTATTCTACAGCCGCACAACCAAATAGGTAATCATTCTTATTTGAGCATAGATATCTACATTACACTAGGTGTATTATAATAATTAATAATATTAGCTTAAGCTTGGTAAATGTTACGTTTAGTGTGGACCGTGAACGTGGCGAAGAATCATCGTGTGTAAATCCGAATTAGGTATACATACACGCATGACGGCCAACTCAATTATTACAAAGCAAATTCAAAAAAATTAAGTCATGAAACGTTTTTTGAGTTTACAAAAGTCGTGACAAACGTCATTAATTTCGGCAGACAATCGTTCAATCTTGGTTTGACGTTAGTCTTTAATCGTTATCATTGTGACGTCCAAAGTATCAATTTTTGTTTTTTTTTAGCCAATGATGTGCTAAATCACCGTCATTTCGTGTTTTAGTATAGGTAATATGTTTGGTTTAACGTTTTTACTATAGTCAACCGTAAATACATAATATAAATTATAATACGGTTGAACTTCTTCTAAGCTTCAGTGTTCAATTAACGTATTCGTTGATGGTTCAAGGATAGGCGGCGTTATTAGATATTATTATTATTACTATCACCGTTATCACCATTGTCATCATCATTATCAT